GTCTGTGGCATTGATGGTGTGCAGTGAATTCATGCCTGAGATGTGCAAAGAATGAGAAGCTGTTATGGCAAAGACTTGGCCTGTTGAAGTAATTTATTTCTGTTTCCAGTGTAAGTTTTTGATACAGGGAATCATCAAGTATTCATGTTTCTAGAAAAGAATGTAGAATTTCCTGTGTTACTAGTTTCAGATACCTATTGTTTGTAGAGCGGATAAGGTACCTTCAATGGAAAGGTAATTGAAAATATTATTTGTCAAAATAGTACTGCTCTGAGTGTTCTGACATGGATTCACTGAAAAAAACCCCAGTAATTAAAGAAATCACCCAAACACCAGAATAACTATTTGAAATACATTTGGCATGAGTAATGGACTGATTCTGATGTAGAGCAGCCTCTTAATTGTCCCTTGTCTTAAATGTCGATTAGTTGTTGTTCGGTTGATGTTGTTCGGTTAAATAGAATTGGAATATCACCTGTGAACTGTTTTAAAAAAAAAGTCTAATGAGTGAAGAACCAATTCTGCAGGCAACTGAGTTGCTTTCAAAGATTGCTGTTCTGCTAAAGATAATGTCAAATTTAATATGGTTGCCTGTGTGTATGTGTAGGGGAAACATTCCTCTTTGATCAGGGCATTTAGACTTAGAAAGTTGAAGTATTTTTGTTTCTGCTTTCGTCTGCTGAGTTGTATAATGAAGCCAAACTAGGTTCTTTTGACTAGTGGGAATCTGTCACTTAATATAGTTACCATGTGAGTTGGATGGTTTGGTGGGATGGTCAAAGAGCTACAGGTACCACAGAGTCTCTGCTGATCATCTGTCTCAGATCTTGTGCGGCTTGAGATAAACATAGAGAATTTGAGATGAAAATTTTCACTAACTGTGACCTCTTAACTGTTGCAAATAGCTTTAGTGATCCATTTTAGTTACAGCTTTCTAAATTTTGCTTTCATATTCTTACTCTTAATTCTACTGTATTAGCATTGTACCCATTTGTCGTGGTTTAACCTCAGCCATCAACCAAGCCTTAGCAGGATGGGGAAGAGAATTAGAAGGGTAAAAGCTAGCAAACTTGTGGGTTGAGATAAAGGCAGTTTAATAGGGAAAGCAAAAGTTGTGCATGCAGACAAAGCAAAAAAGCAGGAATTAATTCACTGTTTCCCATGGGCAGACGGGTTCAGCCATCTCCAGGAGGGTAGAACCCTGTCATGCCTAATGGTGACTTGGGAAGACAAATGCCACCACTCCAAACGTCCCCCACTTCCTCCTTCTTCTACCCACTTAATATACTGAGCATGATGTCATGTGGTGTGGAATTTCCCTTTGGTCAGTTTGGGTCACCTGTCCCAACTGTGTCTCCTCCCAGTCTGCCATGCACCCCCAACTTCCTTGCCAGCGTGGCAGTGTGAGAAGCAGCCACAGCGTTGGCTGCGTATAACCTCTGCTCAGCAGTAATGAAAATGTCTCTCTATTATCAGCCCTGTGTTCAGCACAAATCCAAAACACAGCCTCGTAGTAGCCACCGTGAAGAAAATTAACACTACCCCAATCAAAACCAGCACACCATTGCAAGGGAATATTTTTTCCAGACATTTCCATTGAAGTGTTAAACAAGAAACACGTGAAATCCCATGTTATATTTTGGTATTGCAAAGGCCCAGGCATTTTTTTGATGCATAATTGAAGGTTCTGAATCGTGTTCCTCACATGGATTAAACAGTTTTCTTACTTCGTGTTGTGTGACTTGTTTGGTAGCCCATTTTCTGAATACCAGTAAGTCTACAGCTTGTTTCTTTGATATTTTTTCTAAAATATATCTTACAAAGGGCAGTTGAAGTTCATAAAATACACGGGATTCTTCTTTTACTCTTCAAAAATGCTTTTGAAATTTGTTTTAGAAGTCAGCTGTTTTAAGCTGTAGAACATTTAAATCCAGGTGGAGATGTTGAACTTTCTTCCATTTTTTGCTTACGTCTAATGATTTAGCTTAATAGTACAAATCTAGTGTTGGTTATGATGTTCTCTTCTGATACTGAAATTGAAAGAACTTTTCCTGGACTCTTCACCATAATTAAGACAGAAAAGAAAGTTAGGATGAAGTTACCTTTTCTAAGCAAATGATTGACATAATTAGATGTATTTGTAAAACAATTTAAATAACCTGTTTTGTACTCTGCATATCCCCAAATAAAATAAATTTTCTTGAAAGGAAATTGAAAATTTTCAGGCAAGTACTAAACACTGTGGGTATACAGTGGAGCATCTTTTCTCAGAAATGAGCATGCATGTGTATTAACCCCTGGCAAGATAAGTGCGTGCACCACATTGGCAAAAATTGGCTGACAATTACTGATTGCATCAGATAGCTATTTTGTACTACCAGAATTCACCAGTATCAGTTGAAACTGGAATCATGATAGTGAGAGTTGCTCTCCCTTTTCTTTCCATGAATAAGAACTGGAAAGTATAAAACAAAAATAGATAATCCAAACATTCTTTTAGGGTTGGATCCTTTATAAAGGTGCGTATTAAGCATCAAGCAGGAACAGCAGATTTACTGGAGAAGGAGGCAGTTAATATTTAAAAGATTATTCTTCCAAGTTGATGTATCTGAAATTAACCAACGTGGGGTTTCTGTCAATCATAAAGAAACACACAACTAGCTTGAACAGAAGACCATCATTCTTTTATGAGTTAAAGTATTATGCGCATTATGGAAGGGCTGATAAAGATGAAATTTCTTTTTTGAGGGCCTCTGATTTGACTTGATCTTTGCATTCAAAAACTTAATCTTTCCTACAGCTTTATTAATTCTTACTAGTTCTGGGCTAGGGATGGTAATAGAAGCAGCAAATGTGGATTAAACCAAGGGTGAAAAGCCCTGTGTCTTTACAAAGTATAGTAAAGGCCAATGTGTGCCTGTGTTAGCAGATTTAGCAATAAAAAACCGAATGATTTTGTTAATTCCTTGAAAGTGCAACTTGGTTTACAGAAACGTTTACCGTTAGTGAGGATATGACTCAAAGCATCTAGCTTGCGTAGTAGTTGAATTGGAAAAACGGTGAAATAGTCCTGTGGTATCTATGAATACGGAGAAGTGTGAGCGGAGGAGGGACTGCATCACAGCTCAAATAAAAGTTCTTGAGCCCAGCAAAGACATGCAGTATTGGGAGCTGTATTTGAAAGCTTGTGGTTGACTAGTTAAGAGTCCTTGCTTTGATGTGGTGATAGATTATGGTCTTCTGCAGGGTTGGAATAAGACAGTGTGAGATCTGATCACCTTTTCTAGAGTCCAGAGACTGATTTCAAAATAAGTGATTTAACACTGTTTATAAGGTACTTTCACAATATGTGTCTAATGTGTGCAGAATGCAAAAAATATTTGAAAAATTTGATCCTTGTCTCTTATTGACTTGTTGAAAAATGAGATGCCTTCCCAAAGTGCTTGTATACACAAGCTTTACAAAGCAGCTACAGGAGCATCTTTTTCATTTGTCTCTGTTTATGAGGTCCACAGAAAATCTTCCTAAGTCTTCTGGTAATGAAGCTAGGTATTGAGATCTTTTAGTTTTTTAGTAACTCATCCTTTGCAGCATAGCTGCAGGTTCTTTTCTTTCACATCTGATATTTCAAGTCAGCTTTTAAATAATGAAGTTACTTATGCAAAACCAAAACTTGCCTAAACCTTTATGGGGTTCACTAAAACTTCTTCTACCAACTGTATATTATATGTGTTTTGGAAGACGATGTTAAGCTTACTTAGGAGAGTGCTCTGAGGAAATTATTATTTCCTTTTTGTGACAATGAAAAGGTGGTTTACTGTCTGCAGACATACCTCGGACAAATCTCTGAGATTAATATACCAGTTTCTTTGGGTCAGGTTTAAAATTAAATCCACTGAGTGTCATCTGGCAATAAGAGGGATTTATTTCTTGACCTGAACGTGCTTTCTGGCTGTCAGAGTCCCCCAGTCATTTTGCATGTTCTGATGTCAGTGTGTGTCATGTCACTGCACAACACAAGTGAGTCCATGCGGGTGCAGCTGTGCCGTGTGGGTCTGTGTCTGCTCTGACCTCTCCCGTGGACCGTGAGCGAGACAGGGGAGCAGGAGGGGTGTGCTACAGCCTTCCCGCTGCTCAGGCACTGTGCCCCTTGCTTTGCTGGGGCTGGGTGCTAAAACATACCTTGTCCTTTGTTTCTTTGTGCTTATGACAGCTCCAGGGATGGGGAGAGGGGCTGTCCAGCAGAAAAGTGTCTGCTGTTTTGAACCCAGTCATGAAGTGCCTGCTTACTCTGCAGCAGGGCTTGGAAAGGGCTTTCTAGAGCGAGTTGAGTATTGATTCAGGAAGGCCATTACTTTACACTCAAGACGTGGTGATATTTGGATGCAGAAGGAGAACCTTATTTCTCTCTCATTCAGTTTATTCCTGGATTTGACTAGATCAAAGTAGGCTTCAGAGATAATGGTGCTGGAGTAGGCAGCAGTTCCTGTGAAACTGCAAGACAAGGCAGTAGTAAGCCAAGCAGTTGTTACAAATTAACTTGCTCTACTGGAGGAAATATAACAAGTGCTGCTTATGAGCAAAATTAGCTCAGCCTTTCCTTATGCATGCTGCATCTTTTTAACACAGGAAGTGGAGCAACACACAGGACAATGCTGATAAACTCTCTCATTGTCTGTATTTCTGTATTTGCTGAATTAAAACAGCATGAAGGAGAGAAAGTATGGTATGGAAAAGTGGTGGAGGAGTATTGGAGGGATGGAGGGAGGAAGGAGCTGCAAAAATACTCCAGGACTTCCAGCCTAAAGAAGTTTTCTTATTTTTATGCTTTTAGTTTGTGAGCTACATGTGCACACAGACTGTATCCTGTTTGCTTGCAGTGACTGCCGGCAATGTCACCAGGATGGGCACCTGGACCATGTAAGTGTAGATGCCTTTGCAGGGGAAAGTGGTGATCTATTTTCGGTGTGAAAATGTGGACTAGAAGAGAAGGAGTCTTGGCCTTTACTTTCACATGCTGCCAGTTTTCAAAACACGTGTTGACTATTGTCAGGCAAAGGAAACATAGCTTCAGATTATATCACAGATAGATAGCAAGATGAACTTAAATGCTGATATATTCACAGTGCTTTTGAACCCTTGCTGAAAAGTCTGTGCAATGTATACAACATCCCAGCTAAATATTTTTTTAAAAATAAAATCAAGCATCTTATAAAATATGTGGAACTGTTGGGTGTATTGCATCCCTGACAAATATTGTCTTGTCCTCAGGCTTGCTGCCGTTTGTCTGAGGCAAGACTGCCTGGTTTCTTACCTTCTTGCTGTAAAATACATGCAAAATAATGATAGTTCAGGATATTTTTCAAGACTTTTTTTTAGTGGACTGTGAAGAAAAACACTGCGATAAGTTTTTGATAGTTTGATAAAACTTCTTCTTTCAGTGAAATGTATGATTGTTTACAGGTTCATATTTATCTTGGGAAAAACTAAATGTCCTAGTCTGTGTTTCTGTTTCCTTGGAACTGTTTGAATTGCTGATTTTAAAATTAAGTTGAAGATGCTTCTGTTTCATGTAATATTAAGTCATGATGTGTTCCCTCAGGATACTTACCACCACCACTGGAGGGAGGGAAACCTTTCTTCAAGTGCTCGTTGTGAAGTTTGCAAAAAAACCTGTGGATCTTCTGAGGTGCTCTCTGGCATGAGATGTGAATGGTGTGGCATCCTGGTATGTTTTGGTGCTGCATCTGTTTGTGGGAACCATATACTTATTTAAACACTTGTTATAAGTATACTTTATTTGTACACTGCATAAATATATTTTATATGCACTTTGTAAATACACTTAATTTATACACTCATTTATATAAATATATATTTATGTGTTAGATAGGAAATCTGATTTTTTAAAATCCACTTATAGTCATTTTAATGAGTAACTCTCAAAGGCACAGCTAAGCTTGATGTAGACCTTCCAATGGAATGACATTTTAACAGGGGCTAATCATCATAGAGTTTTTCTTAGAAGCCTGCAGTGACTTTTTGTGTGTGAAATCAGAATTCCTTTCAAATCAAATTAATTCTACAAGGTCAAAGACCTAACATTCTAATCTTTACTTATATTTCAGTATAGAATAGATTTTTTTAAGCTGTCAATATCAGTTTCTGTGTTTTTCCATTCACATGATGCATGTTCATTTCCTGTGCAAGGTGATGGTACCCTTCAATAACCCTCATGGCAGCCACAGCTTTTTGCTTACTGATACTCAGTGTACTACGTAGATAACAGTTGGTCCATCCAACTTAATGGATGGACTTAATTCTCTCTCATCAAAAAATGTTGAAAGTACAAAACTACTTTGTACTTTCCCACCAGATGGGGTGGGAACTGAAATGCATGTGCAATAAATCATTAATTTGCCATTTAATTCAAGATGAGGTACTCTGTGTAATGATAATTAAAAATAAAACTTCGAGATTATTTAGTATCAGGTATGACTTGAATATTTTCATTTTTTTCAATGTTGTGGGTTTTGTGTTTTTAATCTGATTCATAATTTCTGAGGTGGGAGTAGGTGTCTTTGAGACCAGTCTAACAAATGTAACATGCTATATGGCCATACATACAAAGGAGTGTGTATTCAGTAACCGCAGAAGATCTTGCCGAAGTATAAAGGCAGAAACTAGGCAGTCACGCTTTGGAATAGAACTCGTAACAGTGTTACCTCTGAATCTGCAAGTTGGCACAGGTGTGTAAGAGAATACTGCCATTTCGAAGCCTATTCGGTACAGCCTGTGTTCCTTTGGCATTTCCCCCAGTAAATATTCATATGGAATGGAAGATCCAGAGTTTGAGACCAAAACTTTAACCTTCTCCGTATAGCTATATAAAAACCTTTAGTTTTTAATAGAGCAGGTTTGTGGTCCTTGGAAGTTTCATCATATGTTAAGACTTCTTACTATTGGTAATATAAAACTGAATCAAATTAAAATGGGCCATTCATTTTATGAAAGTGATCTACAGAAGGTTAATATGTGTCCTAACTTGAGTTTTGCAATACCAGTCTTACTTTGTTACAAACAGATTTGCTTTCTTTGTTTATTGCTTTAGTTCTTTAAATAATTCTCTTTTTCATAGGCACATGCTGCTTGCTATATAATTGTGACACCAGAATGTACCTTTGGAAGATTAAGGAACATGATTCTTCCTCCAAGTTGTGTGCAATTATTTTCTCGCAACTTCAGCAAATTGCATTGTTTTCGAATATCGGAAAATTTGCCAACAGAATCAGGTAAAAATTTCAAAGTCAAATGTAACCAATTGATGAGCATATTTAACCTAGTGTTGTAATTCACTGAAGCATATTACTGCTAATTTTTACTGGCTTTTGTGGCAATACTATAACTGTCTTGAGACAGGTTAGAGATTTTTAAATGCACACTGTGTGCAAAATACAGAAATCGGTTTACTGGTGCAGGGCAATTTGTAAACTGCTCTTGAAACAGTAAACATTCAGAAAGTGAAAATCTAAAATGAGAACATTTGCGTTATTTATGTTATAAACACTTATTTGTCTTATGTGTACAGATATTTTTATTTGCCTCATGGATTAGGCATCTATCTTTTAAGATTTCTGTGCTGAAACAGTCATGTATCTTGCCAGGGTGATGTTCTGCTGCCATCTAGAGTGAATGTTTGTTTAACAGCTCTTTAGGAACGAGAATTTTTTGAAGCTGCTCAAGTATTTTCTCATTTATATTTTGATCATTATGGTCTTGTAAAGCCTTTCTTTTGCTTGAATACAATATGAAAGGAAATAGAAGGTAGGCAAAATATAGCTTATGGAAGTTAGATATTTGCAACAGCCCTTTTCTCCACCTGACAGGTTGCTCTTGAACTTTCTGCTTTGAACATGTAGGTTTGGTTTTGGTGATGATGATTGCTAGCAAGAGCCATGTGTTCTCGTTTGCAGAAGCTGTAGCAGATGTGTTGCTACTGCATAAACTGCATGACCCTAGGTCTACATAGCCTAGATACACTGTGAAGTGGCCTATGAAAGTGTAAAAAGGGGAGAGGTGGTGTTGGTTGTTTTTTGTGGATTTTTTTTTCAGTGACTTATTTTGCTTGTTAGTGAATTTGCTTGTTGGTGGGGGAAGGTAAAGTACAGCAACCACTTGAAAGTCATGGATTCCTTAATACTTCCAACATAAGAAATACCAGAACTACACAGTCTGGATGAGCCTGGTTTTGCTGGAAGACTCATTGTGAAGTTTGATTCAGGTCTACCGTTTGACACTTTACAAGTGTCCCGAAGACTTAAGTGAAGATAAAATTTTATCATTATTACTAGCAGGAGTTAATTACATGCCTTTTAAATGGACTCTTCAGGTGTGACTTTTCTGATGCTAAGTTTCTCTTTTAAACAGTACTGTGTTCTCTTAATATGTCAGACTTAAACTTTCTTTAATTTTTGAATCAAATCTAAGTAAAAATTGAACACGGAGCACCTTGAGTGAAAGAATCCAAGGTTATAACTGCACCTTCTAGCCTCTTCCTTCATTATTTTATGTACTGAAAGAGGAGGTTTTCCACTTCAGGACTTAATGCTACATGCTAAATGTGTGAGTTTGTTTTATGAATATTCAAGGTTTTTTTAAGTAATAACGGGAGGGGTTTTTTGCATTTCTTTAATCAAAATGTATGTCTTGTACTTTGAATTGAGAGAAAGCAGCCATAAGCTGGTTGTCAGAAGCACATAGGGATGGAGAAATAGTAACTTTGTACTGTTTCCAGTTCTTTAATGTGATATGAAAAAAACATCAACCCTAAACTACTAAACCCCACCATGTTTGGAAAGCCAGAATGCATTTTTATAGTCCTCAGCCTGCATGTATTACAGATATAATATAGCAACACCCTGAAAAATCTTTTTTCTAACACCAGGCCTTGGGCTTAGCTCCCTGTCACCCAGTGGGCAGCAGCTCCCAGGGTGGAGGGGCTGCTGACATCCAGGGGATCAGGGGTTGAGCTGTGGGGGTGCTCCCCTTTCCTCCTGCTGCTGATCCTTGGCATACTGGTGAACTTGAAGGCTACCCCCACCATGTGACATTTTCTCTTAGTTCATGGTCAATGGTCCACAGCTGTGGCTCAACACAAGGCATGAAGAATAATATTTGAGGTGCAGTACCTGCCTTTGCAGTCTACTCTGCATAAAGCCTTTTGTTCTGTCTTAGTTTAGCACCTAGGTCCTGGATGTTTAGGTAGTAGTCTGATGCCATCATGCATGGCTCCTTTTACAACAATCACATCCTATTAAGCTTTGCTTTAAAACCTGTTGCTGGAGTTTTGCCACTCTCAGTCATCTGCTGATCAGGTAGGTGTCTGCAGGTCCCCACCAAAAGCATCAAATACCATCTTTTCCTCTGCCCAGATTCTTCCTCAGAGGCAGAGCTGAGAATTGCCTTAAACTAATTCTCACATCATCCCGTGTCGAGAGAGCTCAGTGCTCTGGCTTGGTAGTCCTTTTTGTTATCTGTGTTGACAGAACAGACCTGTATTTTCTTCCAAAAACCCACTAGCTCCTAGCACATGGTGAAAGTTACCAAGATGTGTCATGAGTCCAATAACTTCCTAACACTTTCAGGAGGTGTTTGATGCTCATCTGACCACAAGGCAGGCCAGGACAGCTGCCCTGAGAGTTGCTGCTGGCTTTCCAAGGGAAAGCGTAGACTCTGGGTGGCAGATCTCATCGAAGATTGTGTGCATGTTAGGGATGTTTCCGGGGAGCAAGGAGCTCCTTTGTTGGAGGATATTTGGCACTTCTGTGGGACCTGTTGCATAAGCACACTTGTTCAGAAGTTCTCATAACGTAGCATGCAGTGGGTGCTCTTCTGTTGCCACAGCTGATGAAAGGCATCAGTCAGAAGATTGTGAAAAGACCAGTCTGAGGTACCAAAGAAGTGTTGGCAGTCATCTGAATGAGATGGTTGCAGGCATAGCTCTTTCCAAGCTGGTGGTTGAGAAGTGCCCAATGACTTGTCCTAGGCAGTGAATGGGCTCATCATTGTTGGCCTACTGGGGAGCATTTGTCCAGATTAGCTTTTGCCACTGCATAAATGCTGAGCTTCATGACCAATATTCAGCAAACTTCTCTGTTCTGAAAGAGGCTTTTCAGGACTCTCGAGCTACCAAGGGAGGCAATGGTAGAGCAGTTATCTCCTGTTCCTCCAACTGACTCCTATCTTAGTGAACTTTGAAAGCTGTCATTGGACTTCACTAGAACAGTTTCAAGATACTGTTAATGTAGGTTTCCCTACTATCCAGACTGAACAAGGAAGAGTAATAAAAGAAAGATGTCAGCTTCTTCCCATCTAAACTGAGGAAGGAGGGAGTTGGAGCAATCAGGAGCAGTCATTTCTTGTTGTAGTTTTTACTCTTTTCTTTAGCTGGATTTTGTCTGAAGTGAAATTTGAGAAGGCATTCAGTTTCCATTTATGTCAGAGTGTTCCAAGACCAATCTGACTAAATTTCTCTCCAATTTGAAATTTGGTATGTTTGTCAGCAATAACAGGGAAAGTATTTCAACCCTTCTTTGATATTTCAAAAGCCCAGCCCAAAAGCATTATTGTTGGTTTTTCTTGTAGTCACTTGAAGCATTACCCAAAACTACAGTAAGTTACCTGGTGTCAAGTTTAGGACTCCTGCCTAGTACCGTTCTTGACATGCTGTAATTCTGCTTCTTAGAAAGTTTTCCTGCTTTAGGACTTTGACCTCCTCGGTACCTCTTTTGCTCTGAAGATCTGCCTTTACTGCTTTTATTTTATTTTATTCTTTCTTGTTTTGTGCTTTGATTTCCTGCTTTTTCCTTCGGCTGCAAGGCATAGTTATTGTAAAGGTGTTGCCTGGTTTATATCTATTGGGAGCTTTGCCTGCCCAGTCAAAACTGACTGGGAGTTTCAGTGGGTGTGAGCATGAATGTATTATACAGTGAGCACACTGGGTTGGCTTGTGTTGCACACTACTGCTGCCCTTAGATAAGAGACATATATCAAACTTGGGTTTACACTGATCTTCTTGTATGGCCTTGAGTGTCAGGAATGAGAATAAAGCCAGGATGTTATCTTCACAGAAGCAAATATAAAAGTTCATAGCATTTATTTTAATCTTTTCTTAGTATTCTATGTGTGGGTTTACAGGGTGCATTATTATCTGACATCTTAACTCCTGCGTTTTAGTGAGAGTGGTGGGCTGCTGTCAAAGTACTCTTCTGGAGAGCAGCAGTTTCTTTCTCTTTGGGTGTCAGCAAATTTGGTTTTCAGTTGTGGAAATTACCTCTCTAATGCCTGTATTTCTGACTGGAAGGCTGTTACTACAATTCCTGGATTGATTTGCTAGTTTAGAACTTGGTGGAAACCATGTATACTTAGGTCATAGGCAAACACTGCACTTTGAGAAAGGGATGAAATGCAGTAGTTGCAATATTAAAGCTAATAGTAGAAAGACCTCAGGTAGGCCTTCACTGTAGTTATATTACAATGCAGATTTGGGGGGTTTATGCTGTTCTTATAGTATGAATTATTATCACAAAATAGGTAGAAGAAGAAAGTCTGAATATTTTCTGACTGCATCCTGTTGTGTTAGCTTGTTTGGAGGAAACCGTTCTTAAATGACAAACACCTTTCCCCCACCCCCACTCTAGTTCAAATTAACAAGAATCCTTTCTTAAAATGTTTCTGTTTTCACAGATGAAGATGATGATGTTGATGGATCAACACAGGGATCAGCAAAAGATATCCAAATTTCAACAGATTCAAGTAAGCAAAATTTTAGTAAGTGGTTTAGTCACCAATTTCAGTCTTTATTCATATAGTTTTAACTTGCTTTGCCTTGCAACAAAACATTAAATGTCTGTTTTCCTAATGCTAGGTTTCAGTTTGAGGTCCAAAGATGTGGTCCAACACATTTATCCAGGGCCTTACGAATATCTCATTGCTATTTGCCACTAGTAGATTGGCATAAGTGACAGTCTGTTCATTACCTTGACAAATAGGTCATTTCACTCAACTTGGTAATTGAAGAAAGAAAACATGGTGTTAACAATCCATAGATAAGGAACCAATTTAAAGGGCAGACAGCATGTGTTTTCAAAACCATTTGCTTTTAAGATCACTGGATCCAAATCTTACTGAAGACATCAGGTGAATTGTTTTGATTTGGTTTGGTTTGGTTGCTTGGGCATGTTGCAGTATACAGGATTGAGCTGGGCTGGTTACTTCCTGTGCAGTTAAATTCTTTAGCATGTGGAGTTTTCTGGGTTTGGTATTAGCCAAACTCTTACTTTTCAGAAGATGAAGTAAAACCACAATTTAAGGGCATCCCACCCCTATATTCGTATTAGTATTTGGAACAACATGGTACTTGCTACCTAATGTAGATAAATGGGTTATTGTAAAAAAAAGGAAATTTCAAATCAATAAATAGTAATTTTTAATCCTAAAGTTCTTACAAAATTAAGGGGTTAATTGTGCAAATGCTATTTGTATTTTAAAAAATGCAGCTACATAAATAATTAACTCAGTTGAGGATGTGATTTCAAGCATCCTGTTATTACACTTTTTAAAATTTGAAGCTCTCTTAATGACTTAAGTTACCATCCATCACCATACTTCCTTATTATGGGAAAAGGCTCTGACTAACTGCAGTTTATCTAAGAAACTTTCACTTTTTCCAGTGTTTAAAGTGACTGAAGTGGTTGAGTGTCAGGACTTATATTACACCAACAAAGTCCATTTCCCTTGTGACTGTCAAAGAGAATAAATTATGTATCCAGATATTTCAACTGGACTGGTTGAAAGTACTAATACAGGCCAGTTCAGCTTTAGTTCTCCTTTCCCAAAAGAAGGAAAAAAAATGTGAAAACTGGGGGCAGAATGCAAACTTTGATATGTCATTTGTTCATATACCATGTCAGTCTTTGGACTGGAGAAAGCAGCAGTAGATGGTACATTTTCAAGTCTCATGTACAGTATTTTTACCTGTGTTTTAAATAGAACAGTGGCATTAAAACAAATTGCTTCCTCTTAATGCATTTTCACAAAGTGTAAGACAATGTAGAGCCCAATAACTTTGCTATGATTTAGAAAGCTCGATAATAACCACACCCACAAAGAGTCAGAAATGGCATTTAGTGATAAGACAGACTGTGGTGATCAGGTGCAGGGCATGACCATGTAGTATCAACCAGCAACCTCTTCAAATGTAACTAGCTTCCTGTATCTCCTTATCCCTCTATTGTCCTATACTTCTTCAGTCCAAAACCACCTTGATCTCTCCCTTCTCCCATTGCTTCCTCTCCTAAAGTTCCGCTAACAACTCTTGTACCATCGCAGACTACTTTTCACATACATATAGCCCTAAAGCTGAGTGACCTCCTCGATCAGTGAGGTGACCCACAGAATTTCTCCTGTGGACTCACATTGTGGGTGCCATCCCCAGACCATGGGATTGATGACCTTGTGTCAGCTCAGGGTGTGGCTTCTCTGGTAAAGTTATTAGGGTTCACCTGCCAGCTATTGTGGTTTCGTGCCTCTCTGTGTGTGGAGTCATAACCTATAAAATTAAACATGACAGTGACATAGTTTTAGTGGACTGGACCTCCTCGACCTGTCTCTAGATAATACTGGTTGTGTAATATGGGTCAAGAGAGAGCTGGTCGTTAGCTTCTGTGTGTTGACTCAGTACATCTGCCCCTTCTTTTGGGATGTTACCACACTCTCCCTCAGGAGTGTCTGAACTCAGTTATATTCCAGAATATTGTAGCTTTTTTTTAATTCCAGCTGTCCATATTTTAGGGGTGCATATTTTTAAAAACAGTGAAAACAAGTCAGAATAAATTGAGTAACATTGATTTGCAAATACATGCTTTTTCTATAGCAAAGAAGCCAATAGGAACAGATTTAAATTCTGTAGATTAATACTGGAACAAGATTTGAATTAGTGGTCTACATTCCCTTTTGTTTCTTTGCTATTCTAATAGGCTTGTTGAATGAAGTGTAAAGTTAGAAGATCGAAATCTTAATTTTGGGAGCTTTAATATTTTTAAATCAACCAGGAAATTTAGCCTACCAAGATACTGAAACCAAAAGCACAAAATCAACATAAAAACAACTGTAGAGTTTGAGTTGATAGATGTAACAGACATACAGAGCAGGTTTGGAAAAGGCCTCTCTCTGCCCTGTGAGAGTCTCTCAGCACTCACTGGCTCCATGTGAACTGTCCGATTTGGCGTATGTCCATCTTCCACAGGACAAAATTCCACCACCCAGAGAAAACTCTTTCTGGAGGAGGTCTTAGATGAATCTCTTTGTGGAGAGAAATGGAGGCCACAGTGCTGTCAGCAAACATAGGTTTCACAGCATGTCATTCTACAGCCTCCGTTTTGCCTGGCACTGCTCTGCTCAGGTAGCTGTTCATCTGCTGAGGAAGAGGTAAAATGGTTTTGTATTAGATAGACCCAAGTCATTGGCTTACAGCTTACTTATGTCTTGTCCCAAACTTGACGTCATTGTGGAGGAGACCTCCACTGTAATTTTGCCAGCAGGAACAAACTGTTTTCTGGAATAAGCAAAGACAACATATGGGGAGGGATTTTTCCTCTAAAGGCATTCAGGAAAATGTTCAGCTTTCATTAAAAAGGTCATTGTGTTCTGCTGTAACTGCTTACAGATAACGAAGTATGTCAGATGTTCCTCTGCAACTTGATGTAAATGGATTTGAAGCAGGTGAAACTAGATCAAGCGGTGATACATATGGCAGATGCTTGGAGAAGCTCTAAAATCGAAGAGGAAGAGGGTGAAGAAGTGGCTACTGGTATGGGAGGATGGCTATTAACACAGATTTGTGCTTCAAAACTGTCATGAAATCAGGGGAAATTAAGCTACTCATGAAAACACAGTTGAGAGAAGGAACACGCCTACAAAAGACTCTCTGGAAGAGGAAGAGCTGGAGAAAGGAAGAATCTGGGATTCTGAAAATCTCTCTTCAAGGCCAATAAAAGAAAAATTAGACAATTCTTACATACTTCAATGATGCCTTGTAGGTTATGAGTCCTAATACTGAAATAAACCAGAATTTGCTAGTCCACACTGTTGTAATATGAAGCAGCAGTAGAAAAGGGGAACAAAAAGCATGTGGTTAGCACAAGTTTTGTTGGGAAGAAAGGTTCTTGGTAAACTGTGTTGCTGGAATTTAGTCTTTTGAGAGTAATTTTTGCCAGCATGTTTGGTGTTGACCTCTAGCTTTTTTCAGTGGTTAAAACATTCAGGACTCCATCATTTTCTAATCTCTTGTCACAAGACCCATGCAAGTCTTTTTAGAAGCCAGGTCCTGTCTGAGGAGATTCAAAAGTCAAAGGAACATGAACTTCGGACTCATCAAATGCTGTTTATCCTTTTTCCAGGAAGACTTGGTATCTTAGCCTCTAAAATCAAATTCTGTAATTTGGTAAATTGTGCCTGGAGTTTACGTTTTGGTAGTTATTTTCCCTTTGAAAAGCGTATGCGTGAGTAACAGATTATTTTCAGCTCAGTATCCCACAATAAGAAAGGAAGGTGGGTTTTTTGTGAGAAAGTATTGATACTATGTAGTCTGATCGAACAGGAGAAGATGAAAGACATTTAGCAGTGGAGTGTCAGTATTACAAAGTGGGCAGTAACTCCTTTAAATACCAAAATTTGCTATGTGCATTTGTTCAATATTAGCCAGTTGGGGTTTTTTATATATAGCTAGTAAGGATGTGTAGACATCAATGCTGTAATTGGATCATTTTCTAATATTTGAAAATTGGTACAGGAGGAAGAAAGAGCTTTATCTAACTTTAGAAGTGATTATAGTTGAGCTTCTTGCCAAGGCTAGTTAGACAAATTAGACTGGCAGAAGACACCCTTTAACTTACATGTATTGGATGTGCTCTTGAATTGTATTTCTGGATGACTGGTTGCAGTATGGAGCAGTTTGTTCTTCTGATAACGTGCTCTTGCACAAGCAAGCCATCTTTGCTCAGGTTGCAGTAAAAGCATCCCTTGTGAGGAGAGCAGTGACAAAGTTAAATGACATTTTTCAGTGATAAAGTTGAGTTTTTGTCTGCTGCGTACCAGATTACCTTAAGGAAACAGTGCTGAGCGTCTATATTTAGCTAAGCAATATGATTGAGCTTAGGACAATACTACTAGTCTGTAGATCTAAACGTCTTGCAAACCAGTTTATTTTAAGAGTCAAGCTAACTTTTTGAAGCATTTGGCTGGTCTTAAGATGTGGAGAGCTCATAAAAAATTCTCTAGTTAAAATTGCTAGGGATTCTCTTAGGCCAGCTAGTATCTAATAAGAGCAGAGTACAAAGGTGCTTCAAACAAAAACAAGTACTAGCACTTGGATTAATGTTTTTATTCTCAGATGGTTGTCTACCCTCTGGATTGCTAGAGAAAACAGTAGAGATTTTGATAATGTTATGAAAGTTCATACTCAGAATATCAGCTGTGCTGTCAGTAACCAGTGTTGCTGTGTTTTTTCAAGTTGTGTTAACTCTAAACAAGGTCACCCAGGACATGATGTGTCTTCTGGTTAAGGTTTGTCTATGTTGTAGTTACCATGGAGATCACTCTGACAGAAATCTGTTTCTAAAGCGTTTTCACTTTTTCTGGCATAAATCCATCAGGGTTAAAAGCAGTGGATCACTTTCTGATACTGTAGTCTCAGTGCAATGGCAGCAGAGTTTCAAAGGTACTTGAGAAATGAGAGTTGATGGTATTTAAATCTTCCTTATATTATGACTAAAAAAGGAAATTGACAACAGACAAACCACTAAGTTGATAATTGGAAAACTGAAAATCCCTGGCCACCTGGTACTTTTCATATTAACAGATGTACTTGAAAAGTCATGATGTGACTTTTATGTGACTTGTATCCCAAACTCCTCCAGTAGCTTAATTCACTCTCCTTTGCTGTAAAACATGTACATTGCACATGAAAATTGTCATTGTTTTTCTTAAACAGATGTTGTAAAAGGTTACAAATAATAGCACTCAAAAGATTTTGCTATTCCAAGAGTGATTTTTTGTTAACAGTTCCATCCAACACTGCAAGAAAAAGGGCAGATTCTGTCAGTGAAGAATAGTTGTGTCTTCTGTAAAGTATGGTCTCTCTGGGGAAAACCAGCAAAGCACCTACAAAACTGAACAGCTCATCAGGTATCTTCATAATGGTGTGATCAGGAGAGGACACAAGGTCTACCTTCATGGAATCTCCTTTTAAATGATCTGGTTTGATTAACTTGATCCCTTTCCATAGGTGGTAAGGACACATGTATTGGACTGATAACATTCTAAAATGTTCTAAAACTGTGGATGTGAATTTGGTCAGCATGTGGGCCATTGAAGCTGAACAGCAAAGGCCATAAAGTAGATAATGAGCTGCTGAAGCTGAACAGCAGGGGCTGTAAAGTAGATGACAGGATCCTGACCGGCCATGTGAGGAGTTCCTAAGTTGAGGCATGGGAGCAAATGGTTTTTATCAAAACCCAAACACGGTCGGTGTGCGTGCTGTGTGTCTGTTCTCAGGAACACCTGGACATGGAATTACTCACTTATGAGAACGTCCTATTTGGCCCCATAGTCGGATCCTTATCTGTATAGTATATAGTATATAGTTGCAGTAGAAAAATAAAGGTCGCTTTTTTGCCTTGCTTGCACTATACGGAGCAAAGTCATTTTTCTCTCCTTAGCCCTTGCCCCCCCCTTTCCTTCTTTCTGCAGCTCACCACATAAAATTTTTCAAAAACTGCCTGTTCTGTGAGGCTTTGGTTACACTTTGCTATTGCTCTTAAAACAGTAACTGTAGTACAGCAGACTTCCAGACTGAGTCATAACTCATCTTTGTGAAAGGTGAACCTGAAATCCTGAACTCTTCACCCTTTCAGAGATGTCTGTGCAACAACCTCTGCTCAATGATTTGACAAGACTTTAGAGAAATGAAATACAGCAAAAGGCCAAAGTTCTGTGTTTGCTGTCCCTTCTTTCTTCTGGTTTTTCTGTTGTCCCTGTATTTTCTCCTGTGGCCTGTACAGTTAACCAGCTATTTTAAGGAGTTCTTCAGAGACATGCTCACAGAACTAGCAGTGCTTTGGAGCTCTTCTGAAGGGAATGGGACTCTGTCTTGCTTTTCAAGTTGTTGAACTGGTCAGTAATAAATGCAGTCTTGAATGGTAAGGATGAAGATGTGATAACATAAACAGTATATTTGTATACAAACAGTTATATCAAAAGCTAGGATAAAACTGTGATTACTTGAGATATTCTTCCCACTTTCCTCTGTTAATGTACCCCAGTTTTAAATGGACAGTAACGAAACAAAAATGGAAATATTCAGCCTTAAAGCTTGTGATGAAGAAACATTTCAGTGGGTTAAAACCAGATTTTTAATAGTTCCATTATACCTTTCCTATTCAGGTAGCTTTATGATTTGAGGGTTGTGTTACTGAAATATAATAATTGTTTCCATTCAGGTAAACAAACATTAAAGATATTTGATGGGAATGATGCAGTGAAACGCAATCAATATCGACTGATTTCAGTTCCAAGGATTGCGAAAAATGAAGAAGTTGTGGTAAGATACCTGGAGAAGGACAATATTCCAGTGTGGTAAAGGGGCATATGATTATGTATTGCAATAGTCAAAAGCAAACAGTTTTACAAATGTAGCTCCACAACAACAAAATCTTTAAATGAGCTATAATATTGCAATGTAATTTGATGTCTTCATGTAGTGCTCAGGTTGGAGCATCTGAAGAAATGGTGGCTTACATACCTGTAGCATAATGAGGAGCACAGCTAAGCAGTCATTCTTCCCTGTGTGACTCTGAAGTCTGGTTTTGCAGATGTGAGCAATACTGAATAATCAGCTCCTCTTGCTCCTTTTCTATAGCAGTTAGTGGTTTGATGTTTATCCCTGACAGGTGCCACTACTGCACTTCAGTTAATCAGCTTTGAACACTGAAGCATGCTGTAGTCATCTGTGCTCCTTGCCAGTGAAAGTAATGAATTACTGATTACATAGTGGCCAGTCCCTGGTTTTTCCAGTGGTCCCTCTGGGGTGAAAAGATTATTTAGTGCTAAATCCAGTGTACTGTTCAGATCTTAATTTATTAGGCTAGATGGACATCCCACACTGTGCAGAAATAAAGCCCAGAGCGGGAATGGGGTGGTGCACAATAGAACTGAGCTTGGTGAGCTCTCAAAATCATAAAGGACTTGGCAGAGGAGTCTGGAGAATTTAGTACATCAGAATTTTGACCATTTAAAGCTAAAGATTATTAGGATTTTTATCTCGATAGTGCATTCAAAATCAACAGGAGTTTTTGAAAATGGTTTGTAGTGTTCTGCATGTCAAAGATCTTCAAGGAAAACTGTACAGGGCTGAAAACATTTTTGTTTAGGAGTGTTGTTACTTCAAGCACATTTTATCAGGCTGTAGCTTTTAATACCAGGGAAGATTAATACCAGTTCTCAGAAGTGACTCACTGGTTTGTATTGATTACTGCATCTTTGTTAGCAGAAGTGCTGCAGACATGGGCCTGCAAGGGATGCAGAAGTCCTGTAACTACATGCATTTTTCAAGGACAGCCCTTACTGTTCCTCTTCACAGATGTGTGGGTTCAGGGCAGCCTTATGGCTGAGAAACTCACTTATTTTCAGCATCCCCTTAGTGCAAGAAGATAGAATATGCAGTTAGGCACAATCGAGTGTAATTTACCATTTTCCTCATGGAGTAAATTTTGCATGCAGTGGGTGTAGCTTTATTGGTGCTGAATTTTTACATTTGTGTTAAAATGACTATCACTTGCCAGAAGTACTGTTCAAATCCATTGGTAAGTTTTATTTTTCTGTGTTCACTAAAATTTGTCTTCTAAACTTCACCTTGTTTTGTTTTTTGCCATTGCTATTTATCCACTTCTCTGAACTTAAAATGTGCATTAGAGGTTAGTTTCATAAGGTATTTATGAATGTCTATGGCTATACAGGTATTAATGGTGTCTTTTCAAGTAAATGTTAATTTATATTGCTGTGTTTTAGGAGGCTGCTTTGAGGGCATACTACATAAATGATGACCAGCAGGAGTATGAGCTTCAGACCTTTACGCAGCAGGTGCTGCTCTCGGATGATGTTATCAACAGGAACGATGCTGCAGAGGACAGCAACTGGGGATCTGTGTTCCGAGAATCCATTCCTGAAGCTTGGATCATCAGAGCTAAACCAAAGGATGAGGAAGTGATCAGGATTTATCCTGCCTGGCTAAAGTGAGTAGTTTCCTTCTTGATCACAAGGTTATCCTGCTTGGCTACATTTGTCATCTGTACTCTAGTCATGTTTGTTTCAGTTATTGAAGCTACAGAAGTATAACAGAGAATTTAGTTTCTTCTTGTGTATTTCAGGACTCTTCTGTTCATTTTTCTGGATGAGTAATATGCATACCATTCATTTACATGCCTGGAACTGTACTCTTTACATGCATGGAACATACAGTGCAGCTTGTGCAGTTTTATTATCGTGTTTGGTCAGGAAGATGCAACTTTGTGTTAATTATGACAGTAAACGAATTATGAAATACATGGGACACTTGAAACATTGACAGATTTTTTTTTAAAAGAAATGTGAAGTTGGAAGAACTACAGTCTAACGTCCCATGTGAGATTAGGAGGAAAAAAAATACAGAAAAAACCCCAATTGTTCCATTTACCACTGAGACAGTATAACTTTTAAGCATATTTAACAGTGGAAACAAAATGGTCTGGTAACCTATTCATTTCTGAATGAATGTTGCTGTTGCAACTACATTGCCAAATTTTATGGAAGACTAGCAGGTAATTTTGTGTCTAAGAAGAAACCAATTTGTAGTCCTGTAATTGTAATGAGCAATTCCTTGAGATGAAAGTCTTTTTGTGCCTTCGGTGCTGATACTGCATCTGTCATTAGCCTCAGTGAACAGCTTTCTTCAACTAATGCAAATTTAGCCTACTCCCATAGAAAATTTGACACTTGGGTAAAGCAGGTACAGACAGGATAGGTCAAATGATTGTCCTAAAATAAATATTCCTTTTCTCTTTAGAGTGGGAATGGCATATGTTTCTCTACGAGTAAATAAGGATAGCACTGTGCAGACTGTGATGAAAGAAGTGCTTCCATTACTTGGAAGACAGGTAAATGATAGATGCTAAGCATGTCCATATACCACTTGAATGACCCGAAAGTGTCATGTGTGTATCTTCCTCTTCAGAAAAATTGCAATCACTTCATTACAGTTAATGTAAGTGTTGTTAGCATTTGGTAGATCTCTGGTGATCCCTGGCATGGTGCACAAAGCTTTCTGCAGTGTTCATGGTAGACATGGTTGCTATGTACTGAGAGGTACCACCAGTCTTTCTGGGTCAAACAGATTTACTCATATGAACACAATGATTCTTGGGGTGCAGTATGTTTTTACTGGCTGTTTATGTCTTGAAATACTTAAAATACTCTTATATATGTAACTACACTGTTAATCTTACCTTGCTGGGAAATTGGCAGTGACTGTTAGGATGATCATGCTTGTCTCCTAATTCTTTGTGCTGCTCTGCAAAGGAAATCGTAGTATCACACAATATCTCAAGTTGGAAAGGACCCATAAGGATCATTAAGTCCAACTCCCTGTTCATTGCAGGACTACCTAAAACTGAAGTGTATAACTAAGAGCATTGTCCAGACACTCCTTGTACTCTCGCAGACTTGGTGCTACACACACTTCCCTGGGGAGCCTCTTCCAGTGATCAGTCACCCTCTCAGTGAAAAACCTGTTCCTAATGTCTAATTTGAACTTCACTTGATGCAGATTCATTCTCTTTCGTTGGGTCCTGGTGCTGGTCATCAGAGAGAGATCAGCACCTCTTCCTCCACTGCTGCCCTAGAGGAAGTTGTTGAGTATGATGAGGTCACCCCTCAGCTGCCTTCTCTCCAAGGTGAACAAGCCAAGTGATCTCAGCCATTCCTTCTGAGTCCTGACCTCAAGTCTTTCCATCATCTTGGTTGTCCTCCTCTGGACACACTCAAATGGTTTCATGCCCTTCTTACATTGAGGCACCCAAAAGTGCATGCTGTACTTGAGGTGGGGCTGCCCCAGTGCAGTATAGAGTGGGACAATCACCTTCATCAACTGGCCAGTGATGCTATGCCTGATGCACCCCAAGGCACAGCTGGTGCTTTTGACTGTCAGGGCACACTGCTGACTCATTCAACCTGCCATCAACCCAATCCATAAGGTCTTTCTGCAGGGCTGCCCTTTCAGCCTGACTTGTCAGCCAGTTCCTCATCCAACACAGTATGGAGTTGTGTAGCTGTGAGCTGGACAGGTTACTCAAAAGGGTATTGTGAGAAAAGGCAAACCCAACACATTCACTGGCTTCCTTTAGTCAACTAGGTGAATGACTGTGTCATAAATGGAAATTTAAGTTTATCAAGCAGGACCTTCCCCTTATGAACCCTTGCTGACTAACTGATGACTGTGTTCTCTCTCCAGTACTTTTCAAATTGTTGCCAGAATAACCTCTGTAGTTTTACCAGGCACTGAAAGAGACTGACAGGGTCTTCCTTTGTGCCCTCTTGAAAAGTGAGAGCAGTTTCCCATTGACTGGGACCTTTCCAGACTCTCTGGACCATTAAAAAATAATGGAGAGAGGTCCTGGGATGATATCAGCCAGCTCTTTCAGTACGCTGGGATGAATCCCATCAGGCCCCATAGATTCACGTGCATCAGGCTGGAGCAGCAATTCTCAAACAAGTTCAGACTTGGCTGTAAGTCCCAGGGCCCATTATTGGTGTGGAAGACAGAGATGAAGAAGGCATTAAACGTCTCTGCTTTGTTTACATCCCTATTTGTGAGATGGCCAACCTTATGCAGCCACAACTCAGTATTATGTCTGATGTTACTTTTGCTATTGACGTATTTTAAAAATCCCCTTTTGTTGTCCTTCACAGTGCTGGCCAACTTGAACTCCAGTTGAGCTTTGGTTGCAGAAATTTTCTCCCTATGGTGATAAGCAGCATCTCTGTAGTCCTCAAGGACTGCAAGGAAGGACACAAGGCTGTAAAAGCACCAGTGTTCTTTACTATCTGTATTCCTTCCAGCTTTATTATAAATTATTAGATACTTGTAGATGTGCATGTTTTCCTTGGAAGAAGATCTCTTTTCAGTTTCCCTGTCCTTCTTACAGCTGATGCCAAAATAGCATGACTTTTAGGAAACATCTTAGTAGAACTTGGTAGTATGCCAAGCCATTGGCAGTCTCAGCCACACAGATGTGGACACACAAAGCTATAGTGTATGCATTTCATTCAGCAGTTGAGGCTTGTGAGCACAGCAGCAGATCAACAGGCTTCTGCTGCTCCAGGGAACAGCCATGCTCACAGATGGTGACAACTGCCTTCTGTGGGTATTTACAGGGTACATACAAACATGCATGTGGCTAGCTATCTGCAGTAGGTGATAACTGTAGATCTCTGTCTAGGTGTCCCCAGAGGTGTAATGCATGAAGCTTGTTTTGCACCATAGGAATATTATAGGATTTGTTGTCAGTCCGTTTCCTCAGGTGCTGTGAACCTTTTAACAAAAAACTGGAACAACCGTGTCTGAAGTCTTGTGTCATCTGAAAAAAGCAACTGTCAGACAATATCGTTGGCTATTCTGTTTAGGAAATCACATCTCTGTATTTGGGAAGCTCATTGTGTGCTGTAAGAGGCTTGATTCTTTGGCTCAATTGAAATTTCTTCAATAGTGATAATTTTTGAAGGCTCTTCTTGTTTATCTATATAAAGATGAACATGCAGGAAATCTCTTTTTAGGATCAAGAATTTGCCTCTGCTGAAGATCCTCTCCAAGTTGCTGTTATCAAATTTCAGGCAAAGCATATGTAGGCAGTTGAAGCTCTTCTCACCCCAGTGCATGAGCCAGAACAATTGTCTCTTGAGTCTCAAGACCAAAAATTAAGATGATTTCTCAATCCTGAGTGTCACATGTTTCCAGGGTTTCAACAATTAAGTAAATGATTCAACTCTCAGCTGTGCCAGCCTTTCTGGGCCAGCTGCAAGGGACTCAAGTGGTCCCTGGCAGTAGCTAGGAGAAGAGTCTGTGGCTCATGTGAAGAGGCTTTCATTACATCAATGCCTGTGGAGTGCCCCAGGAGATGGGAAGCAGTCAGTCTGCTTTTGCCAAGCATGTTTCCTGGGCTATCTTCTCAAAGAGCAGGTTCATTCCCAGGACTGCAAGCTTTCTCTGGAAGGACACTCAGGAAAAGCCCTACATGAGCTGCTGGCCACTGAAGTGGGCATAGAGTTAACTGTGCTGTACTGGTGCTCCTTCACAATGTGGCTACAAGGATGCCAATGTATTTAGGAGCATGGGAGCCTGACACCATGGGTGTGTAAAATGAAGATCATACTTGGCGTGGAAGGAGTGGGTTAGAGAGAGAACATCATGGTTGACCTAAAAATATGTAATTTTCTATGCTCTGTGTGTACAGTGTATAACACAATAACGTAAACATCTGGCAAAATTGTGTCCTTCAGAGGCTGCATTTACATGTTCATCTTTTGGCAGACGGAGTGCCTCCAGAATTTCAAATTGGTGGAAGTGCTTATGGGCAGTAAGCAAGGTAAGTGAAGGAGCATTGACCACATCTGTAACTGATCTTTGAGGTGGTTTTTTCCTTTCTAACACAGTCACAGTTCATTGTGTACAATCAATGTCTTCACAAATGAAACTTCCTGATGATATTAAAATACTTAATTAGAAGAGATGTTTGTTCTTTTCAGTCTTGTGTGTCCTGTGGGAATAAGGTTCCCTTCTCTTTCTTCATTATCACATAAAAATCTATTAGTGATTTTTGGTGGGTATTCACACTTTGACCCTGTTTCAGGGAGCTGCCTTTAACTGGCATAATTTTCTTAACTGCTGATATTTATTAAAGATTCATTCTAAAGTTCAAGTGGCTCCTTTCCTGTCTCTTTTTTTCTCCCTGCTACTGCCCCCAAACAAGAGTCCTAGGATAGTTCAAGGAATGCATGTGTGTGTGTGTTAGGAAGTACAGAGATCTGCTGTCCTACCATTGCTCAAGAGTTTTGTGATCCTGCAGGAGCTGTGCTGGTGGTCTCCAGGTTCACATCCCTTTGTGCTTCAGTATTTGTAAGGCTGTATGGAGACTTAGATAAAGCCACTGAAGTTGTCTGATGCCCTGGCCATAGCCAAGTAAATATCTTTTCAGTTCAGATACTGGCCCAATACTTTGCTATATATATGAGCATTATTCGGAAGTTGTTTTATAAGGTTATTACAGCCTTGTGAATGTCTTAACCTTGGTTGGTTTCTGGTGCTTTGTTTTAAAGCATCATTTGCAACCTTACTTTAACTGATGGTTGTTAGAATTTTTTTAATATTTTGATAAAACACAGAAGTTGGTTATTGCTGTTGTTGTTAGGGAATGTAGTTTTAAAGTCCTCTGTCAAACAGTTTGCTTGTTACCAAAGTACTGCTTGTCTTTTGAGTGGGTTCTGGCTGTTTCTGACTTTTATTGAAGGTGGTGTTTAAAGCACTGTGAAAAGAGCTGTGTTTAAGAACACAGATCTGAACACTGTTTAAGAACACTGTTTGAACATTTGCTTGTGAACACTGTTTTTGAGCACAGTTCAAAGTTCCTACATGTTTTTTTCTGTTGAATAATGAATAGTTTGGGTCTGCATGGTCTCTTATGTTACAGTTAGTTGTATGCTGAGCTGTACTTTTTCCCTTCCTTTTTTTTCCTTATTGTTTTGTTTAATTAAGCCTGATAATAATTTACAGGGCTTTCTAATATGATTCATGTTCTTGCTGTCTCTAGTTCAGCGCATGGTCTTGGACAATCAGGAACTGATTCTTAGCAGACTCAAGGACATAAGAAAGGTAAATCTGAAAAAGAAACACGGTCCTTTTTTTATAGCATGTAGGGAGAGTCCCCTTTCTTACAGGAAAAGTGTGTAATCAGGTACCTCCCAAGCTGGCTCATCTGTGGAGAATCTAAGTGCTTAAACTAAGTTTGTTTCTGATTCTGATATTCTCTGGGCAGAGAGGATTTGATTGCTAAGTGTAGAACTATTTTGGATTTTGTTTCACAGTACCTTTTTGCCAAGTGTCACGTCATTTGTTTTCCTTTGTTTTGGTAGACTTCAATACGTCAGATGAATCAAACAAGATTTTACATTGTGGAAAACAGTAAATCTATTGTACAAGTAAATTTATTTGTTGGCGGCCTTCCACCTCAGCTTTCCCCTGAAGAATACACAAATATTCTTAAGGAAGAATTAGCTATCAAAAGTAAGTAAGCAGGTGCATGTTCATAGACGTTGACTTGTACAGAGTAAAATGTAGTAGCGTCTATTGCTCCTTTTTATTATTTTTTTGTTGCCTTTTTCTAACCTTATTTAAAAAATCATTCTGCCTGTACTCTCACGGGAGATTTTTTTTTTTCATTTTAACATGCTCATGGTTGCATGAGAGATGTGACAACTCATTGTTCACAGAAATACTGAGTTATATGTGAACACACCTTTTTTTTGAGTGAGAAAGCATCATTTTTAGAAGAACTGTATGTACCTTACACTATTCAAATTAGGCCAATGCAGTTTAATTCTCTGTGCATGAATGTCCCTTGCCTTTATTAAGCTCTGACATTTTTTGCATAGGCTATCCTCCATGTTATTCATGAGCTCTGTGCCTGCTCATGGAGGGGTATGAGCTGTGTGTGCACACATATGGACAAGCACTCAGAGAAAGGAATTTCTTCTTCTTTTTCATAGCAGTGTAATTGATTTTTCATAATACTCCTTCAACCAGTGCTTTCTATAAACAGTGTCAGGAATGTGTCATGCTTCTTGTTTCAGGAAACGAAGCATTTTCCCCAGTCTTTTATGTAACTTCAAGAGGAATTAAACTTGAAATGCCAGAAAGAATTCACAAGTTACCTTTTATGAAAATCAGTTTAGCTTTTCTTACTTGCAAAGTAAACTTAGGAGAAGGAAAGTGTTAGCTGGAGGTTCTCCCTGTATTTATATTACTTTTA